TTAGCGCGATAGAGTACTGTTGGGTCAACCATTTTTTAAAGAGATATCTGACAAATGCTGAAGCCTTTACTAAATGAGACTCTAAAAAAGTTCTACGGCACCGGCGGGTCGAAATGAAAATTTCGGCGCAGTTCGGCGACGGGGGGCATTTTGTACTATCATTGCTTCCTAGTTCCGGTTTACAAGTCTCACTCTGGCGAAACCTGTGAACTCTTGTGAAGCTGGAGCAAGGTCGTCAAGCCATCATGTTAAAACCTGTCAACTCGAGAAGAGGCTGTCTAGATAGGTTGACACGTCGATGGGAAGTAACAAAGTGCAGATGCCCCTCATAGAACAATTTGCATATCCTTCATGGGCCTCCTATTTATATTGAAATAGGCCTCAATGATCTGAGTCTGCGAAGGAAACTTGTTGTGGCCAGGGTGTTGGGTTGTCCTGACCGGGAGACTTACTACCTCCTTACAATCATGCAGAATTTCAATCACTTATCGTTCAGAGAAAAAAAACCGGTCACTGTAACATTTCTACCTACTCTGAACATGTAAGACTTATCCCACAAGCACTACTTTCTGCGAGTTGGCGGTTAACTTGTTGTAGAAAACAGCAACAAAGAGAGGTTCTTTTCAGAGCCTACCCAGCATCCGTTGTTCACTTTAAAGACAATTCCCGCGATCGAGTGTTACGGGTAGTAGGCGCTCAAAAATGAACCAGCAAGCCATAATTAACTCCCTAGCAGAGAAAGAAGCGAAAAAACCTTGGAAACACTTCGAACAGAGACCCCCTTAGCAGAGCTGGTGCCTTGGAGGCGTTTGTCGGACGGTGGCAACTCAATCAGCAGGATTCGACGTGCCATCAGTCCCCAGCAAGAGCAGAGTACAGGAATTATCCTACGAGACCCCAGGCAACGCTAACGCCGTTTACGCTATAAACGTGCAATTCCGCGTAGGCCGTTGTCTTGCAGAGTGGAAGTAATCATAGTTGCAATGGTTGCAATAATCACGCGCCTCTTCGTCTCCGTTCCAAGTGACGAAAATGGTATATTCTCTGCGAATGCTAACAGCAATGCCAAAAGCACGGAGACATTTAGGTCCGCACTTGCAGAGCCTGCCACTTTGTCACTCGAATGAACGAGACAAAGCTGCCACAGACGTGTGACCCTTCTAGGGTTTTTTTCAGACTGCAAGGCAACGAGTTACACAGTGGAATATGTGCATGCATTCAGTTGCCCGCAGAGTAGTAGGACAATTTCGTATGTTTCTTGGAGAGAGTTTTAGCTTGTCCACTTTTGGCGCTCGGCCGCATTCAGTTGCCCGCAGAGTAGTAGGACAATTTCGTATGTTTCTTGGAGAGAGTTTTAGCTTGTCCACTTTTGCGCGCTCATGAGTTGTACTGCTATCCTTTAATACCTTTTCTGGAAGCAAGCAAGCAATAGCAGTCCATATCACAGTCCATATAGCGGCGAATGCGTTGGCGCTGATTAACAATTACATTGGTGCAAAACTCGTCCAGCATTGCTTACCGTACTCCTCATTTCCTGCTCAGAGCTTCGGAGCTATTTCTTGTTACAGTGTTTTTCGTTTTTTCAGAACCAGATGCCATTTATTATTGTGAGATGCGCATAAACGATTTGCGAGGAGTTCGACGGGCCGCACGTGCGGGGTTACCAACAAGGCCGGAGAAGTCTTGCAATGAGGCTTAACTGCCAGGCCGCGGTTTTGTTCAGGGTATACTCAAGGTTTTTTTGCTCCCTTCTCTAGTGGGGAGGCGGCTGTTACTGAACCCCCACTGCGAGTAAAACTTGATAGCGGGAATTATCTGTGAGCTACTGACCGTAGACAAAGTTGCTGAGTCCCCCGAGGAGCAGGCGCACTGACAACCAAACAATCAATACAATCTACGAATCGAGTTCTTTTACGTGACTTTCGCAGGAATAGATACATATGTTTATAAGCTACACATGTTATACACTTACAAAGGTCATGTAAAATCCTAAAACAAACAGGTTACTGTCTAAAGTAACTGGAATGGTTCACAATCACCTACTTTTTCTCTGTACACAACGTATTAAGTAAAGAAAAGGAAATCACAGAACGAAGATGAAAATGAATGAAGCAATGATAGAACCTCTATGACTTATTATTGTTCTTCGACAAACAATATGAGAATGCACAGTAAGCAAAACGAAAACTCACAACTTATCAGTGGCAATTACAAAAGGTACCCATTGTAAGGGTCGCTCGACTCTGACATTTCGCTAAACGTGGCTCAAAACTGCTCACTCCCTGACATTGATAACAATCTGCTTGTGTTTTGGATCGTCAAACCTGTCCATCGTTTGTACAGAATTCAGCATGAGGAATCCAAAGATGAAGCCAGCAAGGAGGATGAGGATGCTGACGATACCTACAAAAGCAGACAACTTTACTACAATTTCAAGAAAACATCAGATAGTGGATATACGAACAGACGCTTGGTGGTCAAATGAGCATTTATCATCTATTCGATCATGCGGTTTTTGAGTCATAAATCCTGATCGTTATCAAAAAGATGACACTTTCCGTCGCGCAAACAGTTACAAACCCTGAATAGGGCAAGTTGGCTAAGGGGAGGACATGTGGACTAAAAATTGCCACATGAGGGCCGTCATTAAATATAATCCCATTTCCGCACAAAGATATTGGTTCATTCACCCTTGTTCTTCTACTACTTTGAGCCTGAGCATTGAGCTTGGGCAAGGACCCTTATCTCCGTTACAACAATCCTTGTCTTGCACAAGCAGTCCTTCAAATCTTCAAGCTTCAGCCCTAAATAGCTTTGGATTCATTGTTGCTTAAGGTTATTCTACACGTCATCGGTTTCAATAATTCCTGCCCCCGTTGGCCAGATCAACATAGGAACTTGTTCTCACTTCTTCTCCACAATCAGTGTGGGCGTTCCTTTTTGATGTTATGTGATAGAGACTTGAGTGATTTTCTCCATTCAAAAGCACAATTCGCGTTCGCTTGCTGTGCAGACGCTTCATTGGAGAAGGTAGTCCAACCATTTCCAGAGTTTTGATGGAAGTTGTACCACTTTAGCAACTCAAACGTACGTGAGGAAAACGAGTCCAGCCCACGGCAAGCCAAGGATTGCTCACTGGCCACCGCAATGCATATTTCCCCTTTCTAAGGCTTCCGCGAATGGTGGGAGTCAGGTGATAAGGTCCAATAAGACCTAGCACCACACTTGTGATTTCGTCCCACCCTTCCTTCGCTTTATATGCTACGAACGCGATTCAGCATGGCTTTCTATATTTCATTTCGGGAGGATGTCTTCTGTTTTTTTTTCCTTCATTTCAATATTATTCTTCCCATTAATGTTTAAGCCGCACAACTAACCATTTTGAACGAAAGGCATGCCTTTAACCATAATGACATTATGAAAATAATAGCTTCTTTATCGTACGAAACTAGTAAACCTTCTCCCAATCTCTAACGCGCAATTCATAGAAGCCAAGGAGAAGTTTGAAGTACGGTGTAAAGGTAGCGAAAAAGGCAGATTCCTTTGCTGGAAGCGTGCACTAATAAAGTCCATTCTGTCAAAAAGAGATATCCTACTATATGGTATCCTACTAATATAATCGGCTATGTCCGTGTGTGTGTGTGCGTCTGTCTGTTTGTCACGAAATTCATAGCACCTGAAGAAGAACTTGGAGAGGTCGGGTCATGGTGGGGATGGGTAGAGCATGGGACAAAACCTAAATAGCACCCATGACCCATGGTAAGCCCCGCCCACAGTGGGCGGGGCGTGCGTCGAAAGTTAGCGATGTCACTGAAAAAAGTCATAACTCGGTTCCAGAGCAGTCCCGAGATGAGGAAACAGTGCAGTAAAGTTAACAAAGGCCTGACCGACCAAACAGAGGAGACACACTCGAAATGGGCGGGGCGTACTTGAGATGGGCGGCGCTTCCCGTGTCACTGAAAAATCACCATAACTTGGCTACAAAGCAGCTCGGAGACTGGAAAAAGTGGAATTAGGTTAGCACTGGGTTGCACACCAAATGGAGGAGAGACACCCGAAATGGGCGGGGCGTACTTGAGATGGGCGGCGCTTCCCACAAAGGTCGGTAACTCGGTCCCCGAAAATGTTTAGGGATCGCAGAAAAGTCCATGACGAAGATTAACGTCTGGCAAGAGTCCACCATGTTTACGGCGTGCTGAGGCCCGCCTACAGTGGGCGGGGCGTGCATTTGAACACGAGGTACCAGTAAAAAATCGTAGTTTGGTCCTAAAGCACTACAGATGGCGCAAAAAAGTGGATTATGGTCCCCAAGTGATCAAATGTAAGGAATGTGCGAGGCACTCCCGTTGTGGGCGGAGCGTGCCCCGAGGTGGGTGGAGCCAAATTAAAAAATTCGCAAAACGGTTCCAGAGCACTCCAGACACCGGGAAAAGTGTTTAAGGTCATCGAGGGGTCACAAGTGTAAGGCATACCTGTTGTGTGTGGAGCGTGCGTCAAGGTGAGCGGGGCCAGCCTTAAAAATTCCTCAAGCGGTTCCAGAGCACTCCAGGCACGCCAGTTCCTATGTGATACGGCCCGGCAATCCAGGCACGCCAGTTCCTATGTGATACGGCCCGGTTTGCGGGGCGTGGCTCCAGTGCGCCTACCTGCATTCGTATGATCAAATGCTCGACTAATACCCGGCTTTTCTCTCATCTGTCCACTTGATCAACGCTCCTTACCACCACTCCATACACCGTAATAGTGTTGAAAGGAGCAGGTATGATGCTATTGGTCAAAGAATGTTGACCACCTGTTCAGGTAAAAGAAAAGCCTGATACTAGGCGGCTAATGAAATGTGTGGAAGAAGGTAAAGGCGCCCGCTCGACGAAACCGTACTCTATCTCCGAAGGAGGCGCGCCGGTGTCAGCCGGCGAAGCCGACTGGTTCAGTGATAGCAATTCATCTCATGGATGGGTAAGAAGACGTCGTGGCAGGCAGCTACATTACAGAATTTAGGTTCACCATCGAATACTCGGGAGAAGATCATCAATAGCAATATAAATCTAAGAAAACACTCAAAAAACGCACCCATCCAAGACCCAACTGAAAAAGTTCCCACGCAGTCATCTACTTGTCTGGTGAAAAACATTTGCTGAGTCTTCTTGTCCGGATAAACGGCAAACGGTTGAACCTTGAAAATCGTAATAGAACATATGGAGAGCTCACGGAGATTTAAAGGACAAAATCAACTGTAAACTGACCTCTGTATTGTACAGGGATATGCCGATCAAAACGTTGTCATTGATTATTTGGATCTTTGAAAGAATGCGCTGGGAATCACTACAAGAATTGCGAATCTGTACACTGTTAAAGCCAACATTCTGCACTGAAGTATAAGAGATGGCTTTCTCCTGTGCAGTTGCAGTCTGTAATATAAACAGGTTATGGAAATAGTTTTTATCGTTCTATTTTAAGTTCTACTTTCATTTTAAGCAACAATTTAATCGCTTGAAACATGTCCGAAAAGAAGATGAAACTCACCCCGCTGAGGAAACCTTGGGAAACTCCTTCAACAGATAGCTTGTTTGCGATAAACATCACTAAGTCTGCT